ACATTTCCCCAGTGGGCAGAAGTAATTCCTTCTCTTTCTGCCCTGACACATATTGCTCCTGAAAGAAAAAAAAAGAGCCCTGGACAAGAGCAGAGCCCCCAGAGATGGGAGCTCCCCAGGAGCTGCACAGGATGTGAAGCAGCACTGCTGTGCTCGGGGTGACGCGGGGCAGCAGCCATCACAGGTCTGTACCAGAAGTGCTGGAGATGCAGCAGCTCACAGCAGACCCTAAAGCAGTCTCACCCTCAGTAGAATGGTAACAGCTGGCAAATCTTGTTGCTATCCTAGGCCTGGACTTCTGAAACACAGGTTAAGCTGAGGGTCTTCACATCTTACACAACACCAGTTGTGGCTCCCCCCACCCGGAGCACGTGGCAGCAAACACTGCCCTCCCACCTCCAGCACTGCAGCCCCCTGCTGTGTGCCCAGGCTCCTGGGGCCCCGCTGCCCACAGCTGGAGCACTGGGAAGCAGCAGCATGGGCTGCTCAGAGCCAGGGGGTGTGAGCACAGCCAGCACACCTGGGCAGACAGCACCCCACACACCAGCTTTCCCCACACTGTGTCTCGCGGTGACTGGAAGAGGTGATTCCAGACATTGATCCTACCTACAAAAAGTCACCTCTTCCCTTCAGTCAACCGCTTCGTGGTTACAAGCAGCGTTACAGCAGTTATTTCCCCTTTCCTACTGGTGCTGCCAGTGCTGTGCTGCAGCAACAGCAGGCACACAGAGGGATGGGAAGGGGCTGAGAAACAAAACCTGACCATAAGGCTCCCACAGCCACCCCGAGCAGCACAGGTGAGCACAGTGAGCTCCCACAGGGCCCCAGAAGCCCCAGCCAGCGTAGGGCAGGGGGAGGCACAGGAAAGCAAGAAGCACTCTGCTTTTTAGCCTCAGTCCCTATTTAAGTGCTTTCAACCCACCCGAGCTGCCATACCTGTGGCATTGCTCCTCGCGACACAGCAGACATTGCATCAGGTACATCAGGCAGCTGAGCTAGACCAGAAACTGTCAGAAAAAACTATTCTGTCATTTTTCAACCCAGATGGATTCCCCAGTTCAAGCTCACAGCCAGATTCTGCAGACAGCTGCACCAGCACACAGAAGGGATGCACGTAGCAGGAATAAGGAGCGGGCATCATTTAACATCACCGTGAAACCAACACTCAAATTACAGCTTAAAAGCAAATGACTACTGCCATCAACACTGCAACCTGCACAGCACCAAGGAATTAGCAACAGAAAGCTCATTTGGCAGCCCCACATCTTCAACCCTCCCAACTCAAACTCCCCACTACTTCTGTTTTTCACAGATTCTGCCTTTGCAGCTCCCAGCTCAGTGACGCTAAGTCTCACTGCAGCATGGAGCACAGTGCAGACTCCTCTCTAGGAGCAACACAGCTCTGCCAGCAGCTACAAACCTCCTGGCCAGGCGAGCACCACATCGGAGCAGTTAAACCCAGCATCTGTGTGAGCATCACAGGCACTGACACAACACAGCCAGCAAGCCAAAAGAAAACTACCAATTAATTTGCAAGCTGTTTTGGAACGAGATGAGCAGTAAGACAGGAGAGAGAGGCCGAAAAACCAGCAGCATCACCACCCTTAAACCAGTGGGTTCAAACACACTCAGCTGCTGACAATACAGAGCATTAAGAAGCAGAACACAGTGAACACAGCAGGACTCCTACCTGCAGCCACCTGACCTCCCCCAGCAGCCAGGACTCCAGGCTAAGAAACACCACAGCCATCTGCAGTTCCCCCACACACCTGAAGCAATCAGCCACCAAGGCACAGAGCAGGGCTGGGATTTGATTGAAACACTCAAGAAGCAGACAAAAACCAACGAGAGGTACAGCAGGTTCCATCCTCTTTGCACACCACAGCTTCCTCAAAACTGATAAGCTCATTAAGGGCCTCACAGAAACAGATAAAGCTGAAGCAAAAGCCATGCCTACTTTCGCCCACACAACGCTTCCCTGCATCTCCAGAAATTACCAAGACCCTCCCAAAGCAAAGCGCTGCCCTCCTTCACCCCCAGCACTGATATTATTAGAGCTGTGTCTGGCAATGTCTATTCAGAACAAGCTCCCCTTCCTTTTAACATCAGCTCTAGAAAGCAGATCTCACTGATGGTTTTGTGCCTGGACTCCGGTAAAGCAACCAACCCAGAAAACAGCACGGAAGCACCGCTAACCATGAGACTGGAAGATCACCCAACACTCTGGCAAACATAACACAGTGCACAGACCAATTCATCATTAATGTTTTGGACTGCAGAGCTCTGCTGGAGGCCGAGCAGCAAAGCCATGAAGCTCAGTGTGCACAGCAGCCTGGTCTGCAGGCAGCCCGACCCACACAGCGAGCATCCGAGAGGCAGTGACCTCAGACCAGAGCTGGGCTCACACCTCAGAGCGCTATTAACAGCAAATAAGTAAATTATTGTCTAATATTCCAAATACAAAGGTTGCTACGCATTCAGGCTGAGGACCCATTAATTGTGAGCACAGTTCTAACAGCCTCTCCCACCACACTCCCTGATGGGGCCGGAGTGCCTTCACCCCACAGAGGGGCTCAGCTGGGCACAAAGGGTGCCTTCTCAGCACAGCGAACCCAAACAGAAAAGCACCGCTTCTACCAGAACCAGGAACCCCTCTCCCCTAAGAGCCCACACAGCTACAAGAGGCCGTCAGATGCTTCTCCAGCTACAGTGTCCAAGAAATGCTCCCAGGAGGAGGATTTCCCTGCAGGAACCACACCGCCCTGCTGGGGGTACAAAACCCAGCTCCCTGCTGGGCCCGTCCCACTGACCCCGTGCTGATATGTGGGCTGTAAGTCATGGAGCAGAAGTAGTTTGTCCATGTTTTTTCAAGGGGAAAAGGCTGAATAAATGGAGAAATAACAGCAGACATCCCAGGTGGCTTCCAAGATGATGTAATTTTTTTTAGATAGCTTATTTCTTACAGGTCTCCTTTGAAATAGAGGTTACTCATACAAATAGTGAACTAGGTGTGTGAAAATAAGTTGTACATACATTCTGCAGCAAGTACTAGAAGTGATCTCAAGTGCTAAATGTGTGTACAGTGTAAGCAACGCTCTGGAGTGAGCAGGGCTTCAGGCAGAGATTAAAACAGATCAACAACTGGAATAGATAACAGCTTCTGAAAGCACATGGGTTCCAACAACCTGAGGAAAAGCCATCCTGTCAAACTCACCACAGGAAGGGACCTTCTCCGACAGGACCTCAGACTTATCCAAGATTTGCTCATATCACAAAGACCTCCATAGGCCTGCTGGACTGAATATCCACACGGCTGAAGTGGGTTGTGTTGGGGACGATACCAGCAAAGCTGAAGTTAACAGCACCTCGCAGCAAAGCATGATGAGAAGCACATCCCCTCCTCAGCCCCACCAAACAGATCCCTCTGCTCCAAGAATTTGGTGCAGTTTTCACCCCCCTCCTCTCCAGAAACACACACGTACCCACACCAACAATTACATCGAAAAGTCCAAAAGAAACTCAGGCCTCAAAGCTTCTTTCTTAGTAAACAAGGAAGTCAATCACAATAATGAATGCTCTAAGTTTGAACGCAACCACTTCTTTCAAGAAAAGACTCCAGAAGCCAGAAGAAAGCAGCCACAACTTTCCCTGAGCACCAAGAAGTGCTGCAGCTCAGAGCTGCAGCTCAGAGCTGCATGACTGCATCCTGTGGGAAGACAACAGAGCAGCTTCTTGTACTTCTGCATTGGAGATCGGGTCAGATTTAAGTTACAGTTTGCTTTTAAGGGTGTTCAAAGCTCAAATTTTTCTTCCCTTCACAAAAACAGCACAGCAGATAGTTCTGTCTGTCCATCTACTGTTCACCACGTGTTGGAAAAAAAGTCCAAGTCTGTATGCTGAACCTCAACTCCACCACTGCTGCTCTCATTCAAAGAAGAGGTTAAAATGGAAGACAGCCCCCTGCCTACAGGCATTTCTGAACAATGGGCTGATTTTTCCGCCGCTAATTATTGCCCTGGATAAGTATCAAGTATGTAGAATTATAATTTAACATACATTGCTGCTAAGCTTATGGGGCTACTGACCTCCTGGCGGCCCAGCAGAACATTGCCTGATGCTCAGACCTCCCCAGCAGAGCTGCTGCCCCGTCCCACCACCACAGCACTGCCACAGCACAACCTGACACCGCATATGGACAAAGCACATTCATCACAAAACATAATTCTTAGGTCCTTAACCCTACACAGATACAATGTTTTAGAAAGTAACCCCAGAAGCAGGGCAACCAGAGTCAGCAGGTCTGAAGTTACAAGAAACCACAGCTCTAATAGAATTATGTTTAACTGGGCTGATGCTCAGAGCAAGGTAAAATGAAAAATCTGTGGCCACAAGAAGAAGGCCCAGAGCAAACAGAACTCATGAAGCAATGTTTCAGTGTCAACCAAGTTAAAGGACTGCAAACTCCAACAATGGTGAGATTTGAAAGCCCACCATCATCACTCATTACTGTTGCTGAAGCTGGTAACACTGCAGCTCGTGACAAACGTGTATCACAGCAGGTTGTCACAGGGTGGTTTTTCTTTCAGTTTTCACATCGCTTGCACGGCGCTACAGGATGCTTCCAAATGGCCAGAACTTCATCAGCTACTCTGAGAACACCAACACCAGTCTGCTACGGGAGAGATTTGCTCAGAGAGAAGCAGGCACGGCTGTGATGGGACCCAGAGCCCACCTGGCAGCGCTGGTGCAGCACAGCACGCTGCAGCCTGACTCACCCTGCTGCCCCACGACAGACTGCAGACGGCTGGGAGCAGCGCAGCTCTGAGTGCTGCTGTGCAGACGTCGATCTAAGGCTGAAGAAATCTGGCAGACTGCAGACCCTGCAGCCCTCTCACCACAATAAACACTGATGTGAAGAGCTGCTTTAATAAGCCAAAAAACCTTAAAAGGAGTAAATAACATTTTGGATAACCACAGCTTACACACAGAAGACCACTTACTGGTAAAATCTACGCCGACTCCCGTGCTTACTCTACATCCCAGAAGGAGCAGATAAGCTCATTAGCGCTCTGCAGGGAAGGATAAAAGCGAAGACCGAGGCCGCCCGCTGCCGGAGCCGCTCCAGCGCCCCGGATCCACCTTCGAAGCCCTCCGGGCGACCCCCGAACGCGGGGGCGGCCCCGGGCCCAACGTCCGCGGCGGGAGGCGGCAGAGGGGCCGCGGAACAGGTGGGCGCCCCGCGAGGCTCCGCAGCCCGGCCCAGAGCCCCCTGCAGGCCGCACCCGAGCCGCGGCCTGGCGTGGGGAGGCCGCCGGGCCGCGCGCCGCATGGCCGGGTAGAGCCGGACGGCGCCGAGAGACGGCGCGGGGCGAGGGGTGGGGGAGGGGAAAGGGGGAACGCGGCCCGAGGGGAAACGGGAAGAAACCGCCGAGCCCCGCGGACGGAGCGGAGCCGCCGGGAGCCGGACCGGGGGCAGCACGGAGCCGGGAGCTGCCCGCTACCGCCCGCAGCGGAGGCTTCCGGTGCCCGGGCTGGAACGCGTCGAGCCGCGGTCCCGGCAGGAGAAGAGGCGGCGGCTCCCGGCGTTCCCTCAGCGGGCGGCGGCGGGGCCGGAGGGCGGCCGGAGCTCAGCGTCCCCGCGCCGCGAGTCGGGGAGCCTCGGGCCCGGCGGGGCGTACTCACGTTGCTCTGCGGGTCGATGGCCTGCAGCAGCCGGTCCCTGATCTGCTGCGGGGAGGGGGCCGGAGCCGCTGTCATTGCCTGGG